GAAATGGATGCAGAATGAGCATTGCCATGATGGCTCTGTCTACGCAAGTGGCAAAATACCCGAAGTCACCAGTCACGTATACCTCAGCCACCAGGTGGATCATTCATCCTACCTATGGCGCTAAATGTTGATCTGCTAATAAAGCTGCGGAAACAAGCAACGTGCGATTGAATAAATGTGCAACCTCTCCCTTCAGAATTACGTTCAGAACACACAGATTCGAAAACGCACTTGACTGATAGACATGAATTCTGCCTTCTACGTTGTCAAGAGAAGATGGACCCTCTGCGTGGCTCACCTGAGGAATACTCGGTGAATGTGAAGAATTAGCAACTGAGTACTGCAGGAACCAGAGCACTTGGACAAGCTGGTGGGCATATTACTGGGCTAGGTGTGGAGGAGAGACATCGGAGAATAGAGAATATTGGTGAAAGATAGACTTACATTCATGGCACTTCCTCATAATGAGGAAATGTCAGATTGCGGAGTTATTTCGAAATGCTACGGCAGTAAGTTTATTCGCCTTGACTTTGCCCAGCATTTGGTAGCATAAAGCTTAATTAATGTTCATTGATGGCCGAACGATACTGTACTTTACAAGCAGTTGCCATGTCAACATGCTTTGGCTCGACAAAGTCACTGAGGATAAAAGCGAATAGACATAGCATATGTTTTATGATTAAGGGTCGTTAGATGAGCATGTTGACATTGTTCTTATATCGCAGAATTTTACGCACCTTCCTGCTTCGACTGCAGTAGCGAAATCGACCATTTCCTTCGTCGCAGCTGCACCGTTGCAACTCCAAACACCCAAAACGTCGCACCTCTTTCCCATGTCCTTCGCTGTTTCCCTGATTTCGATTGGCTGAAATGGAAAGCCAGTGGAAGAAGTATTTCGACTACGAAACTTTACCACGTAGAGACTTTGCATGGCACCCAACAGGGTAACAAGTTCAGACGTTGGATAAAGTCGGTGTGGTAGGCAAAACAGCAGGACCTTTCGCAGGCCCATGTCGATCGCTCTGAATTTCAGTGGTAATGACTGTCGTCGCAGCAGAGTATCAAGAAATACGAAATAGAATTTCACCTCTTGATGCCGAGTTCTGTAGCCTCAGAAAAGCGCCGCACGTCATCATAATCACGGGTCACTGGCCCAACTCCGCAGAGTATCTGCAATGGATAGTTATATTTCGGTATTGATGGCGCTTGCTTATAGCATTTTAGTATAT